TTGAAGTATAGCTGTGTACTTATGTCCAAGATGTGTTCTACTTGACAAAATACCTTATTAGGGAAAAAAAAAATCTCATTAAAGCCTAACTCCAGAGTAACAGCTCTGTAAGAGTCCTGTTGATGGTGCAGTTGGGTGCCTGTAAGCTTGATACCCATCAGAATGGTATTTCGTACACAGATGTTCAAACTGACTATTTAAAAGCTTAGCATTTGTGAAGTGATGCAAGATCCTTGAAGAGCTCAAAATTTAATTCCATTGCTGATGATAGGGTATTCGTTCTGTAGTTTCAACTTGAAGAAGAGGCAGACTTTCAGCCGTCTATTTTATTTAAAGGCTGACTTGGGATTACTTTTCCCCATCAGAGTAAATGTGAACAAAGCACGCAACCTTTGCCTCTCCTTTTCCTTTTCACAATTCTTCTGGGAGGGTTTAATGAGGGTTAGTGCTCTAGAAACTTTCACATAGTCTACAGCATAAAATAACACCAATGTTGACACTCGAACCACTCCTTTTAGCTGGGATTTCTTCCTTTTCCACCCCTGTTTGCCTGGGCAGTTTACAAGGAAATTAGAGATTCTTCCTCGTAGGCATGCACTAATCTCTGTTCACTGGAGCACACACTTTGATTTGTCGGTCTCACTTGAGTTTCTTACAAGTAGATATATTTGCTTATGGAGATCAGCAGTACTCTTAAGCTTTGACCTGCTTGTACTTGTTTGGTTACTCATTGCCTATCAGCAAAACCTCCTGATGTGTAAATAGGCTGGAACTAAGTTGCCCTATGTACTTCAAAAACCCAGCAATCTTTGTTCTCAGAACAGCTCCTGGTTAGTGGCATCCAGTTATGTTAAACACAGGATTTCAGTGCTAAGAATAGTGTCTGATTTGAACATGAGGTGCCTTTGATGGAAGAGTTTCTTGACCAGCTGTTAATACTGTGTTCTCTTCTGACTTTGCTGGTTTTACTTGGACCAGGTTTAAGCTGAAGAGTTTCTCCAGCAGCTGATGTCTACTTAGGAAGTGTGGCAGAAAATTAATGGGGGATAGGCTGAAATAAAGCTTGATGTTGACTTGTTGGAGTTAAGATTGTAGGTAGAACCCTCCAAGCAGAAGAGACGGGAGAGAGGTAAGGTGGGGTGGTTGAGTTGCTATCTCTATTCTAAGCTCTACTAAAATGAAATAAAATCAGAGATGATTAGAAGTACCTTCTAACTGCTTCTGTGATTTATTTATTTTTTTTTTTACCGTTGCCTGTGAGAAATGACAGTCAAAACTTCTTCTGGTGAGACTGAGAAAACTTGGGTCTTGAATGTCTTAGTGTTGTTAAAAGCTTCATTTGTGCTTTGAGGCTGTAAGGATGATACTGCTCTGGTTCGCTATGGAAGAAACTATTCTGTCATTGTGGTATCACAAGTAGAAGAGTACAGCTTTGGTCCAAAGCAGCATGCCATGAGAAGGGAGGTGAGCTACATGAATAAAAATGTCATGTGTGAGTATGTTTTGCAATTTATTCTGGATTTGTCTCCATGGATTTGCAGTGTGGTACAGCTGGGTAACACTGGTCATCTGACTTCTATCTCGCTGAGTCCTGTAAAACACAACATATTACTCAAAGAAATTAATGAAAACTTTGCATTTGTCACAGTCCTTCAGGATTAAATAAGCAAAACATAAAACTTCCAAAACGAAGGTAAGCTTATAAGATCGAGAAACCTCTTTATATTATCTTAGATCTTAAAGGCATATACTGACCATCTGGTTAAGATCAGTCTGTTGTACAGTTGGATCACTCTTAGTGTTCTCCACCTTCTGAATTCAGAATGGAACTTTTTTAATTTGAGCTTCTTTGGCACAATTGTCATGGGTCCTAAAGCTGCCTTTCCACATGCCTGCCAGCTTCTTACTCCCTTTATCACTGCTAGGCCTTATGTTTTTCCTAGCACAGGCTCTTATCATTGCTGACATGTCTGATGTCTTAAGTGAAGCAAGCATAGCCACAAGTACAGTGGAAAAATGAGGTGCAGAAACAACTCCAAATAGGGTTAACTTGTTATAAGTTACTAAATGTTGTGAGTTTTTTTCCTCGCATCAGGTTAATGCTTTCTGAACTAAGATTGTCTTTATGAGTCACTGTTTAAAATTATTACTGCTGTACACCAGCATGTTCTTTATATATAGAATAGAATGTGTACTGTAAACTCAGGGTGTTCTAGGGCTGTGTTTTAAGAAGTCTACATACTACTGAAAAGTAATATTCCACAGTCATAATGTAAATACCAATGTATTTTTACAAGAGCACACTTTGGACCTCACAGAGCAGGAACTGTTTTGTTCATAATTACTGCCTGTTTGCATGGTAGGTGTATGATTTCCGTATAGCGTGTAAGCATACTGCTCTGAGGACCAGAGCTCAGTGTCTGAGTGTGCTCAGAACTAAGTTCCCACTACTTGAAATCATCTGAGAGAAGTTACCTTCTGGTGATTACACAACAGACACGTGTAGCTTGGGTTTTTTTCCTTCTTTCCACTAAACATATCACGCTTACTTCTTTTTGTCATCTTGGAGTAAGTATCTTTGTTCTGCTTTAAAGGAGCTTAATGATTATTTTTTTTCCCAAACATACCAGCAAGAATGGAAACAAGGAAGGTACATGTTGGAGTAGAACAGGCAGGCGGATGCCATTTTGCATTTTATTGAGTGCTTCGTGACTATAAAAATACTAAAATAGTAGTTTTCAAATGTATTTTTGAGCAACTATAACTAAAACCTTACACAGCAGACTTAACTTTTTGCAGCATGCCAAAGAAAGAGATTTAGCTTACAGTCATGCTTTTCTAAGGAGCAAGCAAGAAGAATTTCATGTAGGGAACCAGCAGTTAAAGTAACGTTCAGTTATACTCAATGAAGCCCTATGTAAAGTGTCGTGGTTCCTCTCAAGTTTATTGCTTGTGACCAGGCTTAATGGGCAAGCAAGATAACACACAAGGAGAGAGGCTTCAAAGTTGGAAATATTTTCCTCTGAGTCATAAACGTGCATACACAAAGACATCCACCGACATTTTTTTTCAAGACTTTTCATGTAAATGATTACGCTATGAAAGCTGACACGAGGATGTATGTAGTTTAGAGTCTTTCAAGATTAATTAGTGGAAGTCAGAGGACAGCAATGTGAATATTTGCAAAGAAGTAGGACCAATGTGATAAATAGAAAAGCTTAATCTTTACCACTTAGAAGAAACTGTGTGCGGGAGATGGTAGTGAGCGCTGTAAACCAGTTTTTGTCACTTTTTTTTCTATGCTGTAGGTATTGAAGAGCTCTGTGTCTAATAATAGAATACATGGTTCCCATTACTAGTGACTTAATGAAATACTATCTTCCAGTGAAACATGGCTTGTGTTCCTAATGGTGCTTTTATTGTCAAGCTTGAGTTAGTTTTATACTGTTAATTTTAAAGCTATCCTTTAAATCTAAATCCTGCTCTATTTGGGCAGTGTAATTGTAGATATTGTAATGAATTCTTTTTGATTTGTATTTTACACTTAGGATAATGTGTCGTGGAATTTTTGTAGCATATGTTCATTTTGAAAGGTTTTATTTTCTTGCATAGGTAACTATTTGGATTTATAGATCTATTAAGCAAGGTGAGCTAGATATGTACTGTTGACAGTGATTTTTATATTCCTCAACTTAAAGTGACCTAGTGAGTTTAAAAGTAGCATAAAACTTGAAGCTGACATCTTAATATTTGATCTGCTGTGATCATGACCTGTTCACCTTTAGTTTTAATGACGCTATATAATTCTCCTTAAATGTTGCAAATGTACTCTATTGCAAGGCTGATTGATGATAAAATACACTTTGTGTAATCAGCCCTCTAGCATGTGTGTTGTTTCTAGTAGATACTGATCTCCTGTATTTGTTATCTTATATTTGAAAGAGACTTTGGTTTCTGATGTAATGTGGGTTTTGTGCAGATAATACGCTCAGCATCTTGATTAGGGGCTGCAGAACATACGGTTCTTGAAAAGGCCAAAGCTCATTTCATCGTGTAGTTCCCATAAACATAAATTTTTAGGTTGTACTAAGATTACCGTATTGACCATGATGACCTTATAACCTCTGGTGGTAAGGAAGAGTCAAAAGACAATCGTAAGAAATGCAGCATACAGACATTACAGCTGTTTGAGAACTGCTTCACTTATGCAAAGATTCCTAGAACATATATATAAAATAATATTCTTTAATTCAAACTGTCAGTTTCAGTACTTCAGGGAGTAAAGTTTTGGTTCTCTGACCTCATGCATCGGTTGAGACACAATATACTGTGCTACTTTCTTATAAGGTATTTAAAAAGGTGAAAAATGCTATGTTAAATAGGAGAAATAAACATTAGGAATATAATATTGGCAAGGCTTGTAGCAGCCTATGATTCTGTAACTGACTTGAGCCTTCGGTACAATGTATGAACCTTGTTGAAAGGAAGGGAATCACTTATATTCTCTGTTCAGGTGTGCAGGATTAGCCTGCAAATGTCTGTGTGAAGAGACTTGTGCTTTTTCACTCACAAAATAACAATCAAAAGAGAACACCTTTCTTAAAAGATTATTTCCATTTGGAAATGAGCTAGTCAAGTGCCAGTGGCTGAATATAAAGGAATAACATGGGATCTGGTGTTACGCTGTATGCTTCTTAAACCATGCTTCACTTCATGAGAGGAATGTTGCAGCACTGGAAGGGTCATAAAACATCTTTTAAAAAACTAAAATACTTTGGAAAATATAATACATTAGCTGCATTTTGACAGTTTTGAAAAGACTGGTTGACTGGAGCTGCAGAGGGTTCCTAAGTACATCCTGTGGAACGGGTTCCTGTGAAAAGTCAGCAGGGTTTTTAAACCTTTACCTTCTCAGAAAAGGAGTGTGGCTTTTTAAAGCTTACTTAAGCAACTGAATAATTTCACCTTAAATGTGTCTTTTCTTTTTTCTTTCCCATCAGATTTCCTTTATATCCAAAAGGAGGGGAGAAGCTTCAGTTTGAATATGGAGTCTATCTTCTCAACAAAAATATAGCACAGGTTGGTACACTGAGATTGGTTTTTTTTATGAGTTTCTCCTATCTGCTGTCACTATGGCATGAGTGTGTGTCTACTGTCTTGTGCTGCTTTTCTCTATGGCAAACATCTATGAACTAGAGAAGGCGTTCTTCATATCATTGTCTTCACTTACTGCTTTGTGCTTGAGACTTTCTCGTGGTGCTTGGAGGAGGACTTGCCACCTAATAAGGAATCTTTTCCTTTTCAAATAAATACTGTGAGTCTGTACACAGTTTTGAAAATTGTGAATGGCTTCTGTTATTTTTATTCTGTCATATCTGAAGATCCATATGTGTCATTCTCACTAATGTGTCTCTAATTTTGCTGTATTATTTCTTTAACTAGCGTTCTATAACCCTACGCTTATCATGAGAAAACGCAACAAGCTGGAAAATCATAAGTCTTGCCAATGGATGCCTTTATATATATGATAGAAAGTCCTCTAAGCTTTTTTACTTCCTTGCTCTTACGGATTTTAAATAGTATCCTTTACTTTGGCAAATGCATGAGAAATTGTTTTAACTTCTGCAAATTTACAAACGTTATTTGAGATGGTAGCGATACCTGCTGCTAACACATTTGGTATGGAATTCAGAAAATGATCAAAAAGCCGGTCTGAAAGGGGTCTGAGGAGACCATGTAGACTGTTGCATGTTCCTAGAGCAGGGTCAGCTGCTCTTACATCATCCCTGGAGAAAAGCCTGTGGTCTTAGTAGTCTCTTCCAGCGATTGGCTGTCTTGACCATTAATGTCTCTTCTGACATCTAATCCAAATCTGTCTAGCTTCTGGTTAACTACATAATCACTTATAATAATGTGTTCATTTAATTCTCTTCATCTTTGCAAGCTTTTATGCATTGAAAGTCAGCTTCTCTTTTTTTAAAGTGTTATCTCGTGGGTCATGTCTCTTAATTTCTGAGCATGCTTGTTGTCTCCTATTCTCCATCTGAATCCACATCTTCATTGAAGTGCAGTGCCCAAAGCTGGATACACTGTGCAACTGGTGCTTTCAAAGCCTTGAATAGGGTGGGAGAAATGTTTCACAGGTCTTGTCATTTTTTCACTTCATTCTGTTCTCATAGACTAGCAGCCTAAACCAGTGAACTTCATGATTCAGTGCAACCAGCAATCCCAAGTCTTTTCTGCACAGCAACAAAATAGCCCATTCTGAATTTGTGCAAGTGACTTATTTAATTCATGTTTTACATGCTGTACCTTGGATGCATCCTTAAAGATGTGCCTTTTTGTTCTTAATCATGTTTCTGATTTGGTTACGTAATTCTAGAAGATGGGGAAAGGTAGGTTGAGAACTCAATCTCAGCTTTGTGCTCTCTGCATCTGAGCCTGTTCTCTATCCAGCTCACCTGATTACAATACTGAATAGAACTAGGCTAAAGCCTAGACGCAAGTGGAGCCCTGCTTCACCAGTACTTCCATTTACACCGGTACTTCCATTTACACCAGTAAACCACTGCTTAACTACACCCAAAGAGCACTTACTTGCTCTGTATTCATTCGTACTCCATCAGTATCCCATTTCCACAGCATGATTGTGAGCATATTGCACCATGAAATGCCAAGAGATTTATTTAAATTCCAACAGAAATATGACATTTCGGTTTCTAACCTGTTTGTAAAGCTTGAAATTGGATTGGTCTGACAGTTTTATCCTTGAAAAATCTGATTATTTTTTTTTTATATATACTTAGTTTCTAGTTGTTGAGTTTGTTTTTTTGCTAGTTCTCTCTTCCTCCAGTTTCCCCCCATTCTCTGCCCCAAATCAAAGTAAAGCTTCTGGGTCTTTTTATGTTGTTTGTTTTTTAAGCTTGGATTGCATTTACCATTTTCAACTTCTGGTATCTTGCCCATGCTTTAGTGTATTTTGGAAGATAACCTCCAATGGCTCTGAAATTACTTAAAGGCTAAAATATCTGAAGATGAAGTTAATCAAGTCCTGCTAATCTTGGAAATTCACTTACCCAAGCTGTTAATATAACTTAGACTGTGACTCTTTGTTGCTGGTATTAATAATGGCAGCCAGCTGTTCACACTTGACTTTCATAGGGAAGACTAGAGAGAAAAAAGGATTAAATACTCTTTCCTTCAAATGCTTTGATAGCTTTCTCTCTCCATTACTATCAAATCAATCCTTTCCTTAATCTCTAGGTATATAAATACATTAGTTCATGCTGTTGTGATGCTGCGTGCTTTGATTTTTCAGCCTTTCATGGCTCCCTCCCCCCCATTCTGGAGTTTGCTGTTCAGTTTTGTGATGCTCTGTGCTTCTTTCTCGATCGAAATTATGAACTCTTCATTGAGCCCAAGTTGGTAGCCTTTCTGTTATTTCTTGTAGTATGGATTAGTTGGCACTTGTGCCTGTAGTGTATTTTTTTTATAGGAACTGTCACCACTTCACTTGTTTTCCTGTTTTTCTCTTTGACTTGTTTCCTCTGAGTCGTTACCACTGTTGAACCTACGAAATATCTCATTCTGACTTTGTGCTTGTCCTATTTCTAAAGGACTACACACAGTTGAACACATGTTGCCTTCCAAGTCCTTGCAGTTGATTTCTGAAATCACTGGCATGTGTTTAAACTCATAAAAGTAAATGAAGGCTTTAAATACGTATTTGTATTAGAAAAAGTTTCCAAATTTACATGGGGACATTGGTACAAGCTAGAGTAGTCCATGGCCAAACTTTGAAGTGATTTGTACACCACCAGTGGTTTACATGTTAATGCTTGAGTTTGTATGCTGTTGAATATAAAAACATAATAAAAGTAAATCAGAATTTTGGAGGGGGCTTCTACTACTTATTTAATCAGGAAAGTGTTACTGAAGTCCATATAAACTGTTGTAGTCACCTTTGTTTTGATATCCTTGGTCAAATATTGCAGCTTTTTATAGTTCTGCCAAGGGCAAATTCCATTGTGAAAGCAGCCTGAAAGCAGAACAGGTAGATAACATGCAGAAACACATTACAAAAGCTCTGTCCTCAGGGGTTGACTTGATCTAGAAACTTGAGATTGTTTGAATCCTTTGTGTGTTCCTTTGGAGGGTGGAACTGTTGAATTTAAGTAGCTTTTAGAGGATCTCAAGGCTGCTTCAAGAAAAATTTCCAGAAATGCTTAGTTCATCTGAATATGTGGAAATAATTAAGTTTGGATGAAGAGTGAGCAGCTGCCTCTTCCTTATCTCTAGACCATCACAACCCGTGAGGGAATCCTTCTGAGGCCCAAAGGTGTTGGCCTTATTTCAAGGAGCCCATCCTGCAAATTGTTATTTTGTTGTTGATAAATGCGGATCAGGTGTTTAATTCTCTCTGGCTGCTGTGGGAACATCAGAGGTGTCTGCAAGGAGCAGTGCTGACTCTACTAGAGTGTGAAGAGAAGAGCTTGGGTCTCCATCCATCCCCTTACTCAAATCATTCATGCAAGTCTTGATTACTGTGAGAGAGGAGCAAAGAGCCCAGAAAAAGTTGCATCAACTTAAAAAAAAATGCTTGAAAGGATTTGTAAAAGCTTCTCTGGCTTCTCAAATTTATTTAATTTTTTTTTATTTTTTCCTTTCACGATTACCTGAAGCTCTGTCGACAAGGAGAAACATGAGTGGGAAAGAAGTGGGCCCGGGTTGATATTAAGTAAAATTATTGAAATCAAAACTTCTAGAGATAAAGTGGTACTGTTTTGTAAAACAGCGGGATAATAACAATGAAAACCACATCTTGCACTCGAGGGAATTCAGCTGGAATTAGAAGCAGCTCAGTGCTAGCTTAGGAGAGCATTTATTTGGAGGAACTTGCTTTGCTGTTACATTCCGAAGTCAAAACAATGTGTGTTAATTCCGAGAGTTCATAATAACTTCCATCTGTACGTGAGCACAAATTGTTTCAATCCCCATATTTTCTGTTTGTAAAATTGAATCCCTCACGAAGTTCACAGAGCAGCTTTTTATGTTGGATAATGTTAGGTAAGACTGTAAATTTCCAGTTAAGATTTCGTCTGTCTGACCCTAATGAACATGCAAATGTGTTGGGTTTTTTCAAAGGGTAATGAGTGACTTATGTCTAATAATATCAACAACAACAACAAAAAATCACTGTCATTCCAGAGCATTGTCAAAGGTGAAGCACAATCCATTTGCTAAAAACAGGAGTGAGTTGCTCAGGTCTCAAAAGCATTAGACACTGGCAGAGATCAGTCAGTAGGTATCTGGCCCCACAAGCTCTGCAACTGCAAAGTTATAGATGTCTGTGGAGTATCTGAGGAAGATGAGGCCTTAGTAGGAAAATGAAATAAACTCTTGCATTGATTTTCAGAGTAGAGGAGTTGAGATTACACCATGAAAACCTCCTGTTATAGTGAATGAGTATTAGGCACTCACTGGAGTGCTGCGAGATTTTTTTTTGTGGGCGATAAGCAAGCGCACAGCATGAGCAAGCTGGTGTCTCCAAACATAATGTGTGTGGCACACAGCTCAGCTAGGGCATAGACATGGACCATGCTAAGCTGAGCTCTTGCAACTCCTTGAGCAGTGGTCTTGCTACTCCAGGTGTTTTCCTCTTATCTCTTTATTTTATTTATTTATTTATTTTTTAAAATCTTAGTGTGGCAGGGTGAGAGTTCAGTGGCTTTGAGTTTCAAATCTGAGTCCTGTAGAAAGAAAGCAGCTTTACTGCTGTTTACTGCCTGGTTTTGCGATCTCTTTCCTTCTATCCGAGAGCTTTGATTGCTTGGATCTTACTCCAGGGTAGGTTCTTCATAAGAAGAGATGATCTTATTTTAGTGACCATCCTTCTTGAAGTGAATCCTTAGCATGCACAGTGTTGCTCCTGGAGAATACCTGGCCCAAAGTTGTGTACAAGATGATATTACATGGTTTCTTTCCCATATTGGTTATTATTTCTAACCCATATATGTATGATGTGTAGCCATTGAAGAGAACATGACCATCTTGTTTATGAAACTTCCAATTCCTGTAGG